ACAAATCAACAAATGTTCTGGGGGGGGGGGGAGGGGGTGATACCCCTCCACCCCAACCCACACATATACATCTTATGCTCGTGTTATATCTGCCTCCACATACGGACGATCATTGTGTGTGAAGTTGTCGAAATTCAAAAGATATCATGTCACACACATATGTGAGGCCCTGGTTATATGACTTAGGTGGGCATGGTACGGTCAGTAGTGAGACCCGAATAACCGCTTCAGTGTCGATTAAAACAAAGACATTGAATGGATCACAACGATTCACGGAGTAGTAATAAATGATCAGATGTGATGTGGAATTCAAACGAGTGATCCCTGTGCGGATCAACCGGGATGGCACTCTCGCACTGGATCTGTGCAATGCGATTTGTGTCTTCCACTCACTAACATAGAATAGTCGGGCCCATTACTGTTCTGACACGTCTGGTAAATCAAAAACCAGTCCGCACATCGCGAAAGCATGCATTATTCATGCAATAGATCATCAAAGAAAAGAAGCCCAGTGGGAAAAGAATGATGATTCAATAGGGCCTGATGAGATCGCGAGAGAATCATTCTCTGGACAATTGTAATGCCCTGGAAAGTATACAAAATGGGCACAGCAGAATGACACGGACGGGAGAACCAACTCGTGCAATTCACACGCCCGTGTTCTCTACAAAAAATGAACTAATGCAGTTAGAAAGATACGCCCTGGATGATAGCTAGATTGATCAGTGGCTCGAAGCGTTCGTTCCGTCTCGGTTTACCAATCTGGTGCGAGGTTCGTTATCGATCTAATCCAATTGAACAGTGAGAGACAGCTCGTACATGAAATACAGTAGTGGGTGACGGATTGGGTTGTTTTTTTTTATTGCGATGCCGAAGCATACTGAAGACAAAGGTGAAACAAAAATTGACAATGTAGTCCATCGCACACAGACCGAGAGAGAGAGAGAAATAACGACTAGGAAACGCCCATCATCATATAATAGCCAAGACAATAAAAAATACAATCGCCACAGGAGACGAACGAATTGGGAAGCTGACAAAAACAAAGTTCGATCCTGGATATGATCGACCAAACAAACAAGGTACGGAGAAAGTGGCCCATCATCCAAGGATCCCGAACGTAAACGGACAGACTGGGATTGGGCAAAAACGCGATCATGATCGGGTTCGGAAAAACTAAATGCATAGTACCGAACCCGCTTGACTTGCTTTAAAACTGATCAATACACTCGCATATATCTTGGTGGGGGGTGAACCTTTTTCCTTCAGCATGAGCTTTTCAGTTTATGAGAACCTTAGCACATAAAACTTGTTAACTATTGTCAAACCACGTCGCAACATGAAGTGAAACGCTTCGAAAGCATTCGATTGATCATTCGCATCCTGCATATTCTCGTATCCCCGTATGGTACAATGTTTCGAGGCTTAGATACAGCATTCCTAGAGCGGGAAGTTTGTCTCCTTAGACGACCATCAATTAGATGTAGAATTTTGAAGCTCTGCTGAGATCAAGTTGTTCCCGATCTGTTTAGTGGTCAAATATCTGCCCCAGTAGGGAACTGATTTCATCCATTATTTCATAATAATAAAGATGAACCGGAGGACACAATACGCTTAGAGGCGCAGGAGGATACAAAGTATGGTCCATGATAGTTTTACATTCAGTTTGAACAAGC